AGAGAGACCTACCAGTCCCATTTTTCCGTGTAGAGAGAGCGAAGTGGAAGGTTGTTCACGTTTTCCCTCTAATCCCTCCGGCTACAGTCAGAGAGAGAGAGAGAGAGATTGGACCATTTGGTTTCCATCAGATTCTTCTTCTGTCTGCCTTCTTACAAGTTTGTGTGAATTTCTCGATCTGTTTTCTGGCTTTTTCTTACATATGAGCTCCGGTTTTTGAAGATGGATCTATCTTCTCAACGTCAATCCCCAAATGGTTCTAGGGGTTTTCGTCTCCAAGCTCCATTGGTAACTTCCTTTCTCGTTTCCATTGGTTCGTTTCGAAAGATACAACCTTTAATTTTTTCTGGGAAATGTTTAGACTTTGAAATGATGATTGTGCTTTGAATTCCTTCAATTTTGTTTCCTTTTTCAGAAACCCTAGTCCCAATTTGGCAGTTTCTTCATTCCTACTCCTCAAACTGTTTCTGACTATTTTTTCCTGCCCTAAAATGTTTTGTTTTTTTATAGATTTCTGAGATTGGAGTATCTTTTGCAGGTGGATTCTGTTTCTTGCTATTGTAGAGTGGATTCTGGTCTTAAGACAGTAGTAGAAGCGAGGAAGTTTGTTCCTGGATCAAAGCTTTGTATTCAACCTGATATCAATCCCAATGCTCATAGGCGTAAGAATTCTAAGAGGGAGAGGACTCGAATCCAACCTCCTCTTCTCCCTGGCCTCCCTGACGATCTTGCTGTTGCTTGCCTCATCCGTGTCCCTCGTGCTGAGCATAGAAAACTCAGGCAGGTGTGTAAGCGATGGTACAGGCTTGCTTCTGGCAACTTCTTTTACTCTCAGAGGAAGCTACTTGGGATGTCCGAGGAATGGGTTTATGTTTTTAAGAGAGATCGCGACGGGAAGATCTCGTGGAATACGTTTGATCCAAGCTCTCAGATTTGGCAGCCGCTTCCACCAGTTCCCAGAGAGTATTCAGAGGCTGTTGGGTTTGGTTGCGCTGTTTTGAGCGGTTGTCATCTTTATTTGTTTGGAGGTAAAGATCCTCTTAGAGGGTCCATGAGAAGGGTTATTTTCTACAATGCAAGGACGAATAAGTGGCACAGGGCACCCGATATGCTTAGGAAGCGCCATTTCTTTGGTTGTTGTGTCATTAACAACTGTTTATATGTTGCGGGTGGGGAGTGTGAAGGGATTCAGAGGACACTCCGCTCAGCTGAGGTTTATGACCCAAACAAGAACAGGTGGAGTTTTATTGCTGATATGAGCACAGCAATGGTGCCTCTTATCGGTGTGGTCTATGATAAAAAGTGGTTTCTCAAGGGTCTTGGGTCTCACCAACTAGTCATGAGTGAAGCTTATGACCCCGAAGTTAACTCATGGAGCCCGGTTAGTGATGGGATGGTTGCTGGTTGGCGAAATCCATGTACTTCTCTGAATGGTCGCCTTTACGGACTGGATTGTAGGGACGGATGCAAACTCAGGGTATTTGATGAAACCGCGGACTCATGGAACAAATTCATGGACAGTAAAGTTCATTTGGGAAACTCAAAGTCGCTTGAAGCTGCGGCTCTTGTTCCTCTAAACAATAAGCTTTGTATAATCCGGAACAACATGAGCATGAGTCTGGTTGATGTCTCGAATCCAGACAAGAACAACCCTCGACTGTGGGAAAACATAGCCGTAAAAGGACAGTCCAAGAACATCCTCAGTAATATATGGTCGAGTATCGCAGGGAGAGCTTTGAAGAGCCATATTGTGCATTGTCAAGTGCTTCAAGCTTGACAAAAGAAATCTGAAACTCAACAATGGAGTCAAACTCTGGTCAGAAGAAACCAACCACCTTGAGGTTCCAAGAAGAGGAGGAAAAAGCAAAAAATCTGGCTCAAGACCTGTTCCAGAGTAATACAAATGAGGAATCGTCTCCACAATCACCATTGACAAGAACTCATGTCCGGTCTTAACAAGATCATATGAGATACGAAGAGGAGAGAGCCAAGAGACAGTGAGTGAGGTGGGTTAACATTTGTTCACCATTTCTTCTGGTGTTAAATCTGTGTTAGTATTTATAGGAATCTCTTTAATCGGTTTTGGTAATTGTTATAGCGTTTTGTTGACACTTTTGTTTTCTGTGATCTGTAAATTTTAAATCTTTCGTCTCAAACCTCTTTCGGTGGCAATGTAACATAATCTTATTAGGTTCAAATATCACACTTATGAACAAAGCAAATTAATTGAAATACATATTCAGACATTGGAATCGACCAATCAGGCGGATTTCAAGAGTCTTGAAGATACAGTTTTCTTGAGCAAGACGGAACGTTTTCAAACATGGAAACCGGTAAAGTCTTGGATATGAATCCGACGGAGAACACAACCGTGGCAGAGCTTGGATCAGATTCCATGGCGGTGATTGGCAACCAAAGGAAAGCCTCTTTAGCTTGGATCCCACGGACGTCTCTAGCAGACCCGTAGCTGAGTTTTCCGGCGATGTTCTTGCCGTAAAAAACGAGTTGATCGGAGAAATGGACGTAGCAAGGAGAAGTCAAGTCAACGGTGAAATCGCCGTCGTCGGAGATAGTGAACGACTTGACGTTATCGGGAAGAAGACCTTTGGGGAATCCGTAGCGAGGGAGAAGATCGTGGATGTCATCGGCGGTGAGAGATGGACGGTCGAGATTTCGAGAAGAGAAAAGATCTATGCCGTTGGATCGAGATGAGATCGGACGGCGGGGATTTAGGGAGGAGGAGAGAGACAAGAAGAGAGAGATGAAGAAGAGACAGAAGAAGAGTGTGAGCGAAGAAGAAGAAGCCATTGGTCAATGAATGAATGACACTGCGATAAAGAGAGGGCGTAATATAACAAAAACGTTGAGGGTATATTAGGAATTGACTCTGTTTTAGTATAATGTAGTTTGACTTGCCACGTGTATTTAATATCATTAAAATTGTTGCTGCGTGGTACACGCTTAGATAGATTGGGCCTATTGTGGCTTTCATAGAGTAGGCCTTTTGTGGATATCATTGTAGGCCGAACTAGAAAGACCCCATGAGTTACCCAATGCCCGGATTCATACTAACTTTTATTTTGATGAATATGATAAAATCACCCATCAGATTTATATATATATATATATAATATATTATGGTTAATGATCAAATTGCATAATTGTTATTAAAAGTTGAAAATGATATACTTGAATAAAGCTATATATATATTATTTGATTTAAGATCAAGATTTGCACGATGTGTGTGTGGTTAAGTCAAGTGTTCGTTTCGATATATATAAGAGAATAAGTCCAAATCAATCCCTTTTTCTTTATGTGGTTTTAGAAATGTGTGAACCTGATGTGTTGCAGAGAATATTGATGATCAGAACTCAGAAGGAAAATATATATAATTCATCAACTACGATGTAAATGCCATTTAATTTTAATTTGTTGTTGATTATGTAAAATTTGGTTTCATACATTTGTTTCTCCGGAGTTGGCAACTTGAAAACCAAAGCTTTTAATTTTGGCCTAACAACTCTCTCAATTCTCAAACTTAGATGTTTCGTATCAATCCATAGTCCAAACCGTATCAAGAAATTTTTTTATAGTTTTAATTTATCTTATAAACAAAATTGTTGAGAAAAAGACAAACATATTTGTATATACTTTTTGATCTTTAGACTGGCTAGCTACATGTATTAATTGTTACGTTACATCTATAGAATAGGACATGGTACTAATTTTAAACCCATAACATACTAAAAGTTGAAACTTAATACGACAAACGAATATATTATTTTTTCATCATTCTATAGAAAAAAAAATAAGAAATACAACCTTATAAGAAAGAAAAAAAAAACAGAGCAAGTAGGGTAAAATCCATGAAATTTACTACTACGTACGCAATTCGTGAAATTAAGAAGAAAAAAAGTTACAAGTTTCGTGACTCATGATTTACATGCATAGATATGTGTATTACACATGCATGTGAGATCTGTCTCATTGATTAATAGTATTATAGATAGATAAAAGAGATGTAACAAAAGCAAAGGAACATTAAATAAAAGAAGAGATGATAATCAAAAGAAGATGAGCAAATATTAAAAGCTCAACAACACCCAACCAACTCTTCTTCTTCTTCTTCCCTCCATTACTCTTCACTGATTCTGCTTTCCCTCCTCCTGTCCCATCTATTTATATCATATCATCAAAATTATATATGGCTTCAGTAAACTCTAATAGATCGATCTTGCTTATGGTCTATGATCTTGGGACTATATATGTATATCATCAGATAACAAAATTATCGTGAAAAATATTTAAAGTATACTAACGGATTAACTAATCAATATAAAATTAAGTTCACTTACCTTTATGGATTTGTGTAGGAGATGTGCTGTTGTAGTTTTCTTCAATCCTTCCTAAGCTCTCAAACTCTTTAGCCAATGTTGAGTTTCGAGCTAAATGCAGAATTGCTTTCCCATTCACAGTAACAAAAAAAAGTTAGCTAACTTAATTTTAAAATTCACAATATAACTAACAAGAAATCGTAGTGAGTTCCAAAAAACAATATCAAATCAAATGAAAGTATAGTATTTATATGTTGTTACAAAAATTCCTGTAAATTTCATTTTAATATGATATAACAATTAAAATGAAGATACGGCATATACTCAATATCTATCCATAATTAGATTAAAAAGGTTTAAAAAAAAAAGAGAAGTATACATACTGTATATTGCATAATAACCAAACCTTCAAAACTAAGAACACTTCATGACATATATTTTAAAGCTTCTGTCATTTTCATATAGTATAAACATCTAAAATGAAGATTTTTTCATAATATTTATTATAAAACTGTACATTGTACTATAGATTATACCTAGAACGTGGTCTCTAAAATTAGACCAAAAAAGCTCGAAAATTAGAAAATATACGAACTCGATACTCGAACAAGAACATCCATAGTTACTTATACTTATACATACTATAAAAACCAAGTACCATAAAACTTTATAAATTTTTTAAAATAAACTTCAAGAATGAGAGACATGAAGAGAGCAGGGAGAGAGACAAAACAAAGAAAAAAAGAACTTACAAATACACTCGGTGATGTTAGGAGCCGTTATGTGGCAGGCGGTGGGAAGATGAGCGGCTAGGGTTGCGTTAATCTTGAGACCAAGTTGAGGATCATCTTTGTCTTTGACCAATATGCAAACACACTTCTCACTCTTTGTTATAACTTGGTTAAACCCTGCACAGCAATCTTTTGTCGGAGCCTTGGCGCCTCCTCCAACGTACGGAAGACACGTGGAGAGTGCTATGAGTTGGTTCGTACACTCGTCTCTGTCCTGAGCCAGATCTGAGTTTCCAAACCCTAGCAACATGGAGGTTGTCACGATGGTTATGATTAGGGTTCTTATTAAGTGCTCCATGGTTCGACGTGTTGTTTGTCTTCTCTGGATTTCTATATAGATATCTTTGTGTTGATAGAATGTAATGTTAGCTAGATTGAAACTTGTATGCTTATTCTCTTTGTATAGTCGTGTATATATATGGCTATGTCACTCTTGAGTGTCGACGTATTGGTTGGATGATAGGATCATTTATTACATTTGAACATTTATAGTTATGTACTCAAGATAATATATACATTTTTAAACGTGTAATGATATATATGTATGTATACGAGTGTTAGGCCAACTCCGACGGGGACGCTATTACACTATATACAACGGGGACGCCATTAAGCAATAACTTAAAGAATTTGATATACTTGTCAAAATTAATACCAAATATGAAATATCTAATTTATTGCATAATGACTTGGATCCTATGCAATTAGATAGAGATTGAAGGTGGTGCATGTCACATCAGAACATTTCTAAACAGTATATATTATCACATATTCACATGCATTTGAAGAACCATACATTATGCACATACTATAAAATATCATAATTTTTTTTGTAAGACTGATAGATAAATGATAAGGGGAAAACTTAATGAGAGCAATAAATGGTTGTCGAGCCCTTGGAACTATGCAATCTTACATGCATATGATTGTCATGTTTAATAATTCAATCCACTCGAACTTTTTCTGGCTATAATTTTGTTTTGTATTATCTATAGAAGTTGCGGAACCTCAGCCAATAAATTTTTTAACCATCTTTTGATAAAATGGCCTGCTAAATCTAATAACTTAAATAGTAACTTTTGTTTATTCCAAGCTTGGTGATATTCTTGCATGTGGATTGTGTAATAGTGGGACAAATTTTTCTTCTTTTGTTTTTGTTTTTTTACCAACTAAACAAAAGCTATATATGGATGTAAAATCCTAGCTCAGTTTCTATTTTGGCCAATTGGTAACTTTCCTACAGTCTAACATAAGAATCCATGAAAACGATAGGGTACCCATTTCCCTATATGACAATAAGATACAGAGCTTGCAATTTTGGTTGATTTTGATCACTTATATAATTTTGGGTACATACCTAAATCTAAATGGTACATTATATTTGAGAAGAAATTAAAAGATGATAAACTTAAATTTTTTTTTTTTATAATCTCTGCATCTATTGATTGATTGGAGAAATTTATTAGGAAGTTCAACTACCCTAACGGATTAATTCACTTTCAGTATATCTCTTTGGTTGATCCAAACTTGCTACAATCCACGATAATCCATAATGTAATAGTTTTTATGACCTGATTATTTGAAACTCATATGCCTATTTTTATATATGCATCTAAAGTCTTAAGTAACTATTGCATGTCTTTTCAGTTTAGATTACTGACACCTATATATATATATATAAAAACTAGTACACATGTTTGCACAAAAATAAAAAAAAACTAGTACACATGTATACAACAACACTCTAAAATGCAATATTGTATATAATTAAAGAAAGTGTAGTACCATGGCTGTCACGAAGTTTAGTTTCTGCTCTTTTATTTTTAATATAATAGTTTCTTTTGTTTGTTTGTCTTTTGTCTGATGTAAATGTATGTACCTAATCTTCGAGGTTTTATCAAATTCAGACACGTCTGCGAGTCATGGGAGTAATACTTCCGAATGGAGACGGTATTGTACAGTATTTTCGTTACTATTAGAACGGCATCGCACTTCTCCCGTAATTGTTTTGTACGTTACCTTTTAAAATCTAAGTTGACACGAAATTTAGTAACAAAAGTTTAGTAACTCTTTTACCATTTGTTATACTGAGCTACCGTTTGAACTAAAAAAAAGAAAAAAATATATATATTGAGCCAATTTTAGTAAATATCTACGCCCATAAGAGTCAATTACCCAAAGCTATATACGGACCAATCCTTTCAATCAAGAGGACACTACGCCCATATGTCTATCTCACAGTACTAACCAAAAACTATAAGCGTAGTCATATCAACATTTCTTAATCAAAAGAACACTACAATGATTATCGTTAGATAAGATATTAGATCATCTTCATGTGCAATTTAAAGCCATAAATGTCACCAGTCCATTAGGTATCTTTGTCTAAAGACACTATCCCTACCTAACAATACAGTACGAGCTCACAAAACATCACTTTACATATCCTAATTATAAAAGAGTTTCACTATAATCCACCAGCTTTTGGATCAGTTTTTTTAGACAGCATACTTCTTTAGGTCGTCTTTAAAAAAGAAATACAAAACTAAACTATCTCCGTTCATTTGCGATGATGTCTTTGTCGGTCCCCATGTCATAAAACGAAGGCATAAATGGAGGTAACACAAACACGACTGTCACTTACCTAAAACCTACACTTTCTCCATAAAGATAACCACCTAATTTCTCATCACTCTCTTAGCTGGAAATAACCAGAGATTCGGTGTTGTTACCGATACAATATATAATATATATCTAACTAACAATCTTACAATGTTATTCAAGGGTGGCAAGGGAGATGAGATTGTGTGGACCTTGATTAAGTGTGTTATGTACTTATGTACCAACACCATGTGCATGTGGTAAATGTCTCGGTTACATTTTGACAAGCCGGACGTCACTCTGGCCAAAGGCGGTACCGCAGCCTGGACATTTCCGGTGTCGGATCTCTAAGCTACGTTGGATGCATTGCTGGCAGAAGAGATGATAACATTTCACAATTACCACCTGCAATATTGTTTGAAAGATTAAAAGAAGTTGTTGATATCTTCTCAAAACGATTTTTTTATGATGCGCGACATTTGACTATTGATGATGATTATGACAGTGATGAGAAAGGATTGTCAAATCATTATGTCTGCCTTGACGGTAAGATATAGGATTGTTATGAGCACTGTTACCTCTTTAGGCCGATCAAAACAAACGCCACATTTGAGGATGTTTTTGCAATTCTTAACTTCTTCCTGGAGTCTCACTATTGCAGCTTCTACACTCTCAGAACCCAACTCTTCAAGCTCCTTGTTCAACTCCATCAACTCTTCCTCAAGCTTCTTCTTCTCCCTCCTGCTCAGTAGATAGAAATCATATCAATCCGTCATAAAATAGTTATTGAGTTCAAACAAGAGATCTGCTTTCAGGTCCACCTGTCATCATCCAGTTCCAATATGATGTCTTTTGTCCTCCTACATATCTGTTCATATTCCTTCTCGGATGAAGAAACAGCCGACTTCAGCCACCTGAATTCCTTGTCAGCATCAGCTACTTCCCACTTGGTGGTTTCGAGGCTGAGAGCGAGGTGACGATCTTCTTGAATCAATTTATAAGCCTCAGAAAAACAGCTTTTCATCTGCAAAAACATCAGAGCATTAGTAAATGACACTCATGAGTTATAGAGAGTTACAAAAATTACAAACGAGAAAGCTTCCAACCTGTTCCTCACTATGTGCAATCCTTGCTTTTAGAGCCTCAACTGACGCATTAACTTGTAGGAGCTGCTTTTCCATTACTTGCTTCTCAGATAAGTGAGTGTTATAAGCATTCTTTGTCTTGACGCTCTCGGAAACAAGCTGGCATTATAGATCAAACAGGTAATCTACAACCGATGTATTCAAAGGCCAGATAGAATTAAAGCCAAAGGTTGGAATTGAAAAAAGGGTAAAAACCCGTATCTCAACATCAAAATGGCCTATTAACACACTTACCTTGATATTATAATCATCCCGCTCAGCCACCTGCTGCAACAAATTTTGGTTCTGTGTCTGCATGTCTTCATAGGCTTGACCAATAGTCTAGACAAACAAATTACTGATGAGACACATGCACATTTTTTACTTTTAGAATTTAATACACTCCTTGAGAACATCAACATGAGAAAGAAAGGGCAGAAGGGTGATTGCAAGGTACCTCCATTTCAGCAATGGATGCCTCTGCCTCCTGCTCTTTAACTTTAATACCCTCCTTAAGTTCCAAAACCTCCCTGCAAATAATAATGATTAATACCCCCAACTGTGAAAAGAATAAGATGAATGGCCTTGGATATGGAAACAAAAGAGAGTATACCTCTCAGAAAGATCTAACTGAGTCCTCAATTCAGCAATTTCAGCCTTCGCGGTAGCAAGCCTTTCTTGGCAAGCAATTTCAGTCTCATGAGCAGCTTTCACTCTCAATTCAAGAAAGTGTTCATCTAAAACGTTTTTCAGCTCTTCAGCCTGCGCTTGGGCTTTCCGTTGTGATTCCTTGATTTCTGCCAATCCTCTGAAAGTGAAAAGCACAAACTTCATATTTTCAACAAAAATTGGCGAGCTCAAATACACTCAAATGGTCACATACCTTTCATCATTACACTCACGAGTACAAATGCTTGCTAGATTTTGCAGCTCTAATTTCTCTTTCAGAAGTTTCTCAATCTGCAAAGTTACAATTGACATTCAGACTCTTACTGCTAAATTTTCTGGTGTTTTAGTATCCATGAATTCCTAAAGAGAAAATGACTAAGCATGCGGATGAGCTAATTGCCTACGATACAGTTGGAGAGAGGCCTGTAAATAGAGCAGAAGAACCTCGTAATTACCAAAAAAAAAAATCGAGAAGATGGGTTTCAGGACATAAAGAAAACTTACTAGAGCCTTGAGAGACTTAATTTCCGCCATCTGTTCGGCACATTTATCCTCTATACCCTTCTGTTCGTCTGCCTTTGTTAGCAAGAGAAAATCAATATTTCAGGGAGCAGTCCAATAGAAAGAAAAATATAGTAGAAGCCAAGCATTTGTATATACAAGGAAAAGAGATTCCACATTGTTACTTAAGGAAACTGTGGTTGCGTTCGAACCTTGTTACTTAACGAAACTCTCAGCGACTGAGCTTGTTCACGCAGGTAAAGAGCATCATGTGCAGTGTCTTTCCACCGTTTCAGCTGTGCTTCCATCATTTCCATCTCCTTAGATAAGGTTGATGCCATTGCAATAAACTCACTTTTAATATCTTGCCGCTCTGAAACATGGAATATATCTTCTTAAGAGAAGGAATGTAAAGCGTTACATAGACAATGAGTACTGAAATGGATTGAACATCACCAGAATCCTGAATAGCTTCTTCCGTTTCAAGCTCTAATCCATTCTTTTCAACTATACAACTCTGCAGCTTCTGTTCCAGCACCTCAATTCTAGAACCAACAATGGTAGTCTTATGGCT